AGCCATCAGGCTGAATTCTAAAACTTCCAACTTGAATTGTTTTTCTGGGATCTTCCAATTCTATAGCTTTCACTATTTCATCTACCATTGTCTGACACACTATAAGTCACAGAAATTTTAAATGTTTACCGTATTTCTAATCAATCCAATGTCTTCATAATGTTTCACAAAAATACAACTTAATAGATTTCCAGACTTTCATTTTGAAAGTTTACAAAATAAACATTTTGCATTTAAATAAAACATGCAATTATAAGATGTTCAAAATATTTTCTCATCACTAAAAATAATAATTGTTGCCACGATTAGCAGTTTAAATGAACACAATCCACAAATTTAAATGTACAATCCACAAATGTCATCATTATGAATGCCCAAATATTCAAAGTAAATGCACTTTCATTAATAAGAAAGCCATTACTTTGTCCAATATTCAAACTTTTTGTATCAGGGTAATGGAATTGATATACAAAATTTCATTTATAAAATTTGAAATATAGTGTTTATTTGAAATTATATAAAGGTGACTACTGTTTTTAATCAGAATGCTACTTTTTAACTTCTTATATATGACACCAAGCCTGCATCAAGGCTCACACATTTGAAAGATGTACATAAAAGTTATTTTTGGTCAACACTTTCCAAAAACATGCAAGTAAAATTTGCAAACCTGTAAGTTGTTTGGAGAATGTACCTTACTTGATGTACATTGTTTGTACATATTCGGGCAAACACTTTTGAATCTAACTTTGCAGACTGGACTAGCCCCCAAAAAAAACACACAAAAAAAAGATAATAATAAAATACTGTTTTACCAATCATGTCACAATTGGAAATCACCGATTGCCGATAGTTATAGCTCACAATTGGCCCAATCCCGATTAAGTACAGTAAAGTTGATGATGTCATTGAGTAATATTGATGACAGTTTAACCTTAGAAATTGTAACAACTACAGAGAATGTACTTTGAAGCTTCATTAAATTTGAAATGGTTGAAGTTATCAATAAATGTGTCATTAAAAAAAAATCCTGATCTCTTTTCTGTTTTTTATTTGAACGAGCGAAATAAAACGTGGGGACTGACCTTGTGGCTAGTACATAATCGATATATAATGTTATGTGACCATTGTGAGAGACAAACAAATTATTGAGGTTCCTTGCCTAAATTCATCATTCACTTCAGCCATAAGGTCAAAGACTTTTCTACCACTCTACACATTTTGAACAAAACCACTTTCTAATCCAAAGGTAGTATTCCAACCAAAGGTCAAATAAAATAACTGTGTTTGAAAGGTTTCATTTGTAAAGAGGGGAATCTTTAAACAGGTTGATGATAGATTATTTTTTAAATGGTCCTAATTATATCTTTATGCATACATAATGATCAACTTTCCAACATTAAAAAAAGAAATGACAACTTTAAATGCACTGTGATAAAGAAGACCCACATAATGTTGGTTGAATCATTTAAAATTTATC